GTGCTATAAAATCGATGAAAATGTGCATAAAAATGAGAAAATTTGAAAATTGGCTTATTCATGACTTCTCTGTGACATATATTTCAAAACTGAAAATTAAACTCATTTAGTGGCATAGGTGACAAGATTTTTTTTATGGATAGACCGGACTGTTGCATAATTCTGGAAGACATCCAAAATTAGGGGCCAATGTACTAAGACGAATCAAAGGTTTATTTTTGTGCTGTAAATAGGAATGGGAATTCCCTCTAAACATTTTAAATTTTAGTCATTTCTTTCACTTGACAGTCACATTATGTTACTTAAATAAAAAGTATTCAAATTTTCTATCCATAATGTCTAAAACAGTGCAAGAATCTATATTTTCTTAATACTCCGTGGTATCTATTTTTAGACAACTGTTGCTATGATATGAAAAGAAAGTCCATCTTCACGAAGGTGTCAAATATTAATTGCAGAGATGCTTTAATTGGAAATGACATATTATATTCAGCAGTATATTTTGTAAATACTTTTATCAATGAAACTCCCTATAATGGAAAATTCTTATTTTCCTTCACTTGCCGAGATGTTTCTACATATATGGGTGGATGTGCTATAAATAGAAAAAGGAACCCCGTTCAGATACAATGTAGTTTGCACTTTACTAAGTAGTTTGGAGGTATTTGTCAGTTACAAAACATCTATAACAGTCTGTATTTTTTCTATCTAACATTGCCTTAAAAAGTGAAATCATCTACATTTTATTGATTATTCAAGGAATCTATTTTAAGAACATTGTTGCTATAAAAAGAAACAAGAGTCCATCCTCAATATTGTAGAAATTGTTTTACAAACACGTTCATTTTGAAGGCATATTGTAAATAACTTTATGTTTAAAGACTTTTCCGTGCGGCTTCCAATTAGCATAAAACTGCCATTTCCCCTAATATTCAAAGACATTTCTATATTTAGATACCTAATACTAAAAATAGAAATAGGAATCACCCTCAACTACTGTCTACACCAGCAAGTGGTGACCAGCTATATTGTCATTAACATCTCAAATTTTACAATATACATCATATTTATGCAGCAATAACATTTAAAATTGCCAAAATTTAATATTTCGCATTTTTCAAAAATATATCTATTTATAGATACATGTTACTAAAAATAGAATCAAAAGCCCACCGATATTATTTCATGAGATAATACTACTAATTCTCAAGTATAATAACACACATGAGAATTGGAAATTTTCCGCGGACAATTTTTGTTATTTAGCCTTAAAGATCTCAAAAATGCAAATTTTCCCATTTTTCAAATTTTCAGAAACCATGTCAGTTTGCATGACCTTTTTCTTCCAGGAGGAATATTTCTAGAATAAACGATTATAGGACCTGCGTACCTTAAAATTTCATAATATCAAATGATCAAATAATTTTGTTAGAGTGATTTAGATACCAAAAAATATCCATTTACATTTCCTCAATTTTCATGTTTTTATTCAGTCAAAAGGGGCCAAAAATGGCCGAATTCAATGGATCCGTCTCCATGGCAACCGAGTGCACGTGTGGAACTTCCGACACGGCATGTACTAGTTTTTTACCAAGTCACACCTATGGTGAAAATTTCATCAAAATCCGAGACATGTCGTTTCCAAGCCCTATAGTAAATTTGTTGGTGCTTACAGAGAATGCGTGTTGAAATGCTTATGTACAGAGACCTTAGAGTTACTTTAGCTTGTTGTAATATAATTTTATTGACGTTATAAGCTCAGTAATATTGCTATGCCTGAATTAAGAACAAAAATTATTTAATTGTTAAAGTTCAACACTATTTTTTTTATGTTTACCAAGTCATAATTTCTAGACAAAAAATAATCAAATCTGTAAATGAGTGCATTTCAAAAGTGGATTTATTTCCTTTGTTGCTATGGGGAATTTTCTGTTGCCATGGTGATTAGCAATTGCAAAGTATTCCTGGATTCATACAGAAGTCTCAGAAATATGTTTTAACTTTAAAATTTGGTTTTGGTATCCATCGATAAGATTTAATTCCATAGATAACTCGCATATTTGACAATTTGTCTCTTTCTCTTTATCAAAACATCCATTTTTGTTGCTAGGCAACCGATTGTAAATATTAAAAAACACACATTTTTGAATTTAAATTCCAAAAAGGATATTTCTCTGCCTTTATGTAAAATATACCATACTCTTGTATTATGCCAGAAGTTTGAGATATATGGCCTTGAAATTTGCCAAAATTAACAAAATTGCTGAATCAGCAAAAACGGCAAAACATGCATATCTTCCATTGCCCGTAAAAGAAATATCTTAAAATAAAAATTCTATGTATTACATGGTTTTATCACTTGAAACGTTTATCTTTATGATAATATTATTTAAGAACCCCTCTGGTAGTATTCACATTCAATTACAAGCATCTAAGTTTAGCGATATATTTGTCATCCACATGGAAAATTTACTGGTTGCTAGGGAAATTTTCTTTGGCCATGTTTCCATAGTAACCAGGACCCAAAATAATTTTCATTTTACATACGTGGTTAATAGTGCAAGAGAAACCTATGTGTGAAAAATCATGGAATTCTGAGAACCCTCATGATTCACTTTTATACACATATTGTCTGATTCTTACAGAGACCCGTACTTAATTGCTCAGCCATTTTACAACTTTGAACGTTCAAATTTTGCAGGTTTGTAGTGATAACTTCTATTAACCTTATAATGTAAAAGTCTTCCAGATTTCCGCAGAATTTTACAAAATACAAATGGAATTTATAAAGTGATTAATAATTTTTCAATTAAAATTTTACAGTGCTCAGGGTCTCCATTCCAAGACTAATTATGAAGCCATAATTGTAATTGAACATTTGAAATTGAATAAGATTTTACATTTTTCAATTCACATTAAAGTAAAGGATTATAAATATGTTAATAATAAATATCAATGAAACAACTTAAATTTAATTCTTAGCTTGTCCGCGAACTTTACGGACAACTCTCGTAAAATGTAGGGGTGAAACGATACGCCTCCTTCACGGTTCGATACGTATCGAAAAATTTGGTCTCGGTTCGGTTATTTTCGATACGATACATTTTGATAGAAGGAAAGAGATTCAATGTTGTTTTATGCTACCTTTTTCTTAATCTAGTAAAAAAATTTATGTGCAAAATGGATAGAATGTATCAATTTAATTGATTTGACTGTTAAATATAATTTTACAAACTTTAAGTCCACACAAACTTACGTTTCTGAACTAATTATACAGAAAAGCATGCTCATATCTTATGCCAAACCCGACTGAATGACGATCCCGACCGAAAAACGAACCGAACCGAAAGTAGAGATTTTGTACCGTGTATCGAACCGAGAAAAAATACCGCGGTGAACCGATACTGCAGTGAACCGTTTCACTCCTAGTAAAATGAATTTTATTTTATGTCAAATCAATGTTTATCTATCTTTGGAGAATGAATATCACTGCATAAAATGTAATATAGAATTTACCCTTCTTAAATGAATTACTTTCCATTTATTTGTTATTGGAATAAACCAACCCTTACATCTCATCTTGTCCTGTCCCTTATTAAAACTGTAATTTTGTATTGCAGAGGAATATGTGACCTGCCACACCTGTAGATCACCTGATACCCTGCTTCAGAAGGACACCAGGATTTTTTTTCTGCAGTGTGAGACGTGTGGATCCCGGTGTTCCGTCACCAGCATTAAGTCGGGATTCCAGGCCGTCACAGGCAGAAGAGCTGCCATTCGAGCAAAGACATCTTGATTCTTATTTATTCTCTGACTTAAAATTCTTTGATGTCTTTCAGTATGTTGGAGTTGTTTATACCATCGTAGTTTGTTAAAACAAACGGAAAATTTACAATTCCTAGAGAGGAAGCACCTGTTCAGAATATCAAATTCCATAGCCATTCTGTTTGTATTGTGTACATAGTGTAACTGTATAACTGCTTTATTAAATTTGTCCGAGATTCAGAATGTTGAATATACAAATTATAAACCTTTCAGCAAATGTCATGCTGCAACAAATGCAAAAGATTGTTTCTAGAGCTCATTGTGTAATTGGGTAATCTGTCCAGAGAAACTGGCAGGATGAATGGGTTCATTCTTTATAATTTCATTGTCTGTGTTATCAATGACAATAAATGTATTATGAATTCAGTGTACACTCTTGTAATTTTTTTACCAAAAGATATAGCCATTCAGTGTTTTATTGGTCATGAATATGTACTTGTATAACTTTTTTTTTTCAAATTCAGTGACCAAACACCTTGTAATCATTGGAACAAGTCATCCAAAATTAAGGGAGACCATTACAATTTACTGATTACAAGGTCACTGCCAAAATTTTTATAATATACCTATTTATACATTCAGGAAAATTAAATTATATAGAACATTCAAATATGGAACCAACAATTATTGAAAAAAGTATGACTTAAAAACTGCATATTTAATTTAATTCTAACGATATTATCTGCTTTAATATTACTGCAAAGACCAAGGAGCATTGTTAGTCATATAAGTTTGTGCATGTGACTTGATGAATGTGCTACACACAGTGTAATAACTTTATGTATAATCTCGTACTGATGAGACGGGGGGACATCAATGTAAAACAAGAATTTTCTTTACACTGTGGCTAAGTATACGTATATAGAAGTTTAAAAGAACAACAGAGTTCATGGCTACTGTATAGCTCAGAATTTTCATATTACTAAATCTTCATGAATTTTGGTTATTATTCTAGTAGAAAAGCGAAAACTAAAATGTTTGCTAGCAGAAGATCTTGTGTAGTTAAGCAAAATTTAAGTTATTGGGTATAAAAGAAATGATTTACAGTATATAAAATTGATTTTTACCACTATCAATTTCTATTTATAGATAATCGTAATGAACTTGCAGATGATGAAATAGTGTACCAGACTTGCAACAGACTCAAATATATAAACTCCAGCCGTGAACAAAAATTCCAGTCCCTAACATACATCTGATCATCATCTTGAAATATAAAATTGGATTATGGTTCAAAATTTTCTATCGATTCAAAAGAATAAGTTTGGTAGGTAGACATATATTTTTTTTTCTTCGTATCCTTTTTTTAATCCTTCAAATGATCAGTTTAATGGTTAGTGGACAGCTGATCAAATGATTACTTAAAACAATAAACTTAAGAATTTCCCGTCCCTTCACAATTCAGTAGTGTTTAAAAAAAATATGGTCCAGGAAACACTAGTAAGATTAGAGATAACATTTTTTGATAGTAACATTTAACTCATAGAATACTAATATGTTATTAGTATATTTAAAAAAATAAATTACCAAAACAAGTGCCTGTGCAATAGACTGTAGACTTTTCAATATGAGATTCGAGAATGAAAATCCCTGTTCTTAATTTTGCTATATATTTGGTATAGCACAAGTATTTCCTCTGTTTTATATATAGTTTTTGTCGCCGAAAAGGGGAAGAGAAAAGTAAGTAATTCTCGATCGCAAACCGATCCAGACTGAGACACCTTAATTCTAATACTAACATACTCTGGTGCAATGACAGAAGAAAACGGAACAGCTGTCCGTCCGCAAAACAATTTACTATACCTCGAATCTGGTGGATCTGACAAAGATAAAAGAGGGATGGAACTCGAAAATGAGAAAGGTGCTGTATTGTCAAATATTTATATTTCTTTGGGATTTTTTCTTTTTTTTCTTCTAATAGCTGGAAAGTATGGAATGCCATATACGACAGCCAACTGCTTACTGCCAACTGCTGACTGCTTACTGTCAACTGTCAGCTGCTTACTGCCAACTGCCACACATATTTGAATAAATTTTATATTTGTATTGATATTTATATGAATTTTCACAAAAAGGCACGGAACCAGGACATTTTTTCCAAAGGGGTCACCCTGGTAAAATTGAATTGAATAAAATGACCAATATGTTTTATCTTATGTAATATTCAATATAAGCGGTTGATAAAGTACATTGTTTATTTTTTATTTGTTTTCCTATTCGAAATAGGTAATAAAATGACTATTTTCTGCTTTAAATCTTTAAAGACCCCCCCCCCCCCGGAGACAATAAAACCTTTGAAGAGAGAAAAATAATTAAAAAGATTTGTCCTTTCGCAGAAAAAGATGTTTTGAAAATAAATTTTCCGTTTTCCATTATATATTCTTTTTATAGTTAAAAATTTCCTCAAATTGAAAATGTATATCTCTGTGTGTTATAATGTTTCACGTGCACAGATCTCGGGGGGGGGGGGATTTAAAAGAAGGTGTTGCAGTTCTTTTGTTATTTTCCCTAAATGTGTAGCAGATTAAAAGAAGAATTTGCATGTTGCAGAAACTCGTAATAATTTTTTTCAAATGCAACAATATATAAAGCACAGCGAGAAACAATATTTGGAAGCTGTGTATTGACTTCCAATTCGCCATTAAATCATGTGAAAATTAGTCTTACGGCAAAATATGTCAGATTTTCCGTTTTTAAATAGGGAATCCCCATTGTTCTGAAAAAGTGCTTCCTTGAAACAAAATAATTTTGATATATACAAAGAGGCAGGAATTTTCTTCAAAACTGCCATTTCCGATTTTTGTTTCAAAGAGGCACATTTTTGAAAAACGCAAAAATTGAATAAAAATTATTCTCCAAACGAAATGCAAACTGTGAACATTAAATAACCTTCAATCTATCGTGTCCGAAATGGTCTAGTGGATATGCTAGTGGGCTTCCAACTAGTACTTTTACCAGAGAATGGGTTCGAATCCTGGAATGGAGCATTTTTGCATACTTTATTTTTTTTCTTATTTTTTCCCATATGTAATGGTAGTGTAATTATATACGTATTTTGAAAGAGAGAGAGGATGTCAAGAAGTTAATTGAGTAATAATTATAAATGTCATTGAGAAATGCAGGATTGAATTCTTTTCCTTGCTGTGACTTAAAACTAATGCTTTATATAATCTTAGTTTTGTCTTGGAAAGTAAAGTTATTGTGTTGTTTAAATAATTTATTTTTTACATACTTTAGTTATTGCAATTTTGAATAATTCTGGTCTCTAAGTTAGTAGCCAAGATTTGATTTGAAACAAATGAAATGTCTTGAATGTAGCACCAACAGTGTGATTATGGGACGCAGTTTTATTTCATGAAAAACATTTCCGCACGATGTCTACTTTATGTCTGCTTTAGCTTTTGTGCTTTTTGTTGTTCCAACCTTTTTCGTGCAAAATGACGAAAATGTTTTGCTGTGTCAAGCAGGAAACACCCGCCGTAAACATAGTCCTCTACGTAGCTGTAACTATATTTAGACATAACGAGGGTATTTAAATGTCCTTCTCGATATATAGGGAAATATCGCGAGTTTCTGCAACACCTTCCTTGTACAGACATACGTTAAATAAACTAAACGAACTACCGGCTGACCTTGGACCGTCCACTTAGAAAACGCCGATCAAACATTTATATCTCTTTGTTTGTACAAATAAAATATGTTTTACATGCATAGACCTAAAGAGAGGGGTCCGGAACAACCCTCTGAAAATTCTTGTGAAGTTATTTAATGCACAAACTAAACCAACTAAAAGTTATTTAATGTATAAAATAAATCAATTAAAAGGGACCTTAGAACCCCCCCCCCCCCACCAAAAATGTGGATTCGTGTTAAGTTGTTATAAAAAAAAAATGTCATACACATAAAGGTATGACGCATAAGAACCCCTTTCCTCCGGCCTTAATAAATTTTCGCATTTAGGAAAAAACTTTAAGTATTTTTTTCTTGTCAAGATATTTCTGGGTTGGATTTTTTTTTACCAGAGTGAACCTCTTGGAAAAAATGTCCTATAGATCCGCGCCTTTTTTTTAAATTTACATAAATCTCAATGTAAAAATAAAATTTATTCAAATATGTGTGGCAGTTGGCAGTAAGCAGCTGACAGTTGGCAGTAAGCATTCAGCAGTTGGCAGTAAGCAGTTGGCTGTCGTATATGGCATTCCATAGGAAAGTAATGCATTTTTTTTTAATTTTATTGAGATCTGCTAAAAAAAAAAATCAGGCCACGCAGGGTACATGAAATTTTATTTAAAAAATGAAGGCACATATATAAAAATTATTTACCGTGATCTTAATCGTACAAGCATGTACATTAATTAAGTAAATTTATTACATGTACAACTTTTTAAAGGTTTACGACCCCAGAGGAACGACAGCATTCTTCCCGATGATTTGAACTTTCTGGGGCGTAAAAAGAAGAAACGGACTAACAAACCAGGTGCGTTAAGTTTCATTTAGGCTTTAGGGTCCCCAACACTATTAGACTTGTGACGTATATAAAGAAAAAATAATTTACTTTAGAAATACTTTTACAATTTTTGTATTACCAAAAGAAAAATGCATCTGGTGATCGCCATAATATATTCCACTCTGGAAGATTATTCAACTTTCATGATAATGTCCAGAGCTATTGTTGATACACTTCCGATTATATGTATTACACAAATACTTTTCCCATGTTAAACAAGAGTTTATATACATCGTTCGGTGTGTTTTACTATGTAAAAATACCCAATATTAGTCGCCCGCACGGTGCAGTGGTTAAAGCGTTTGATGTAGAGTCGCGAAGTAAATAGTTGATCCTTACGTCGCGGGTTCGAATCCCACTGTGGGACTTGAAGACCGGTCCTTCGGATGAGACCGTATCAACCGAGGTCCCGTGTTGCAGTAGGTGCTAACAGGAAAAAGATCTCTCCCTGCCCAATGGCCCTGAGTGCCGAATATAGGACAAAATTTGCTGCTGTCCACCGGCAAGTGGGGGCGTCCCCATATGAGTGAAAAATTCTTGAGAGGGACGTTGAACAACATACACACACCCTTACATATACATATTTTATAGTTTTTATAATCTGTAGAGATTTTTGAAGTGCATGGTAGGAAAATGAACATTGTGATAAAGTGCCTTTATCTATGCTTTATCTTCTGAAGATGACTCCTTTAGAGATGAAATTCCAGAAAATATTGAATTTAAGGAAGAGAGGAAGCTAAGCGAGGGGGATTATCAATATGAAGAGGTAATACGACACAAAATACATGTATATGTATATTACATTAATAAATCAGTGGCTTTCTGTTGTTTAAAGTACCGTTTGTAATTGTTTGTAATCATTTAAAGCTTTTAGGTATTCTCTATAACGCACTGAAAAAGGAACATCCCAATCTTTGGGAACAACAGAATACTAAAATGCGGATCCCTGCTGTCTGTGCAGTCAAAGAAGCAAGAAAAACGGTTTTGCTCAACTTCACAGATATCTGTAAAGCGTAAGTTTTGACAAACAATTTTTAATGGATCTCACAGACAACTGCAAAATGTTTGCCTTAACAAATCCACAGTTACTTGTAGACAGGACACCCTTCTAATGCTGAGATAAGACTAGATTAATAAAATGTTCACACATATCCTTAACTGGCAAATGTTGTTAATTCAAAGTTTAATCGACCTCATACGTAATCTATGTAAGGCCTTCCTGATTTCCATTATTTTATTTCAACATCTTGTCTCTTTTCCCCCTCTTCTTCACACTGCTTTCCGCGATTGGTTTTAATTAACTACTTATAATATCACCTGCTTGTGGTGTTGACGTCTCCCAACTTATTCGACACTGTCAGAGTAGGATCAATTGAATCGAGGCAAGCTATTCACCGATATATTGATGTTACAGGGATTTCAGTATCCTCGTTTAAAGTCGGCATTTCGTTTTTGATGTTGTAATATCATTCCCAAGTTCCATTTAGTTATCATAATTGTACTTAAATGTGTTTTTTTTTAAGATAATTTAATAAAAATATAGAAACTTTAATTTCTTCCCATTGAAATTGACAATCTATAAGAAACACAAAATACTATCCTGAAAAAAGACAAGTTTAAATTTTTTTTATTTATTCTTGAATAATATCCAAGTACTTGGATAGACAGACAAATGACTGATAGATTTGACAACCCTACTTGAAAATACAGATTTTTTAAACAAAGAAGCAAACGAACATTTACACTTTTACACTCTTACATTTTTAGAATTCACAGACCTCCTAAACACGTCCTGGACTTCTTATTCAGCGAATGTGCGACAAGGTACAGTTTTAATTAACTCATATGCAAGATATTTTAAGTAATATATATATATATATATATATATATATATATATATATATATATATATATATATATATATATATATATTTGAATGATATCAAATGATTCTTTAATTCTTGAAAAAATGAAGTCTAATCTGATTGAGTAAGTTAAGCAAAGAAATAATTCCCAAGGTCCCAGCGATTCAAATGATTCTATATATATATATATATATATATATATATATATATATATATATATATATATATATATATATATATATATATATATATATATATATACTTTATTGAATTGTCAGCGGCTCAAATGATCCTACATCTACTGAATCAGATTGTCATTGGCTCAAATAATTATATAGATATATCTACTTTATTGAATTGTCACCGACTCAAATGATTTTACATGTCATCGGTGTATGATCGGCTCAAATGATTCTTCATATATATACTTTATTAGATTGTCACCGGCTCAAGGTACATATGTAAGTGATTCTATATCAATCGAATTGCTCAAAGGATCTATATTTACTTTATCATATTGTCATCGGCTAAAATTATTCTTTATCGATTTTATTGGATTGTGAGCGGCTCAAATTAATCTATATTTCATCGGAATATCGATGGCTTAAATGATTCTGAATCTACTTTATCGGATTATCAGCGGTAAAAACGATGAAGTAGACAAAGAATCATTTGAGCCGCAGATAATTCGATAACGTAGCTATAGAATCATTTGAGCCGCTGACATTCTGATAAAGTAGATATAGAATCATTTGAGCCGCATACAATTAAGGACAGACGAGACGTTCCTTAATAATAGATAATTTTTTCTAAGAGTTTGTCATTGAAGTATTGCTACTTAAACATGTTTACTCACAAAAAATTGAGGTACCTTACCAGGCATTTCTGCGAGATACCAGGGGTAGTTTTTTTTAATATAATCCTTTGGGGAAGAAAAATAATTTTCCAATTTCAAATGTTTAAGTGTTTAGATTTATTAAAAACGTTTAGAAACTGGTTTAGAAATCAGAATGTTATTAAAATTTTGAATATTTTTCATACATTACGAAGATATACAAAACAGATTTTGAGGAACGTCTCGTCTGACCTTAAGTAGATAAGTAAGTAAGTACATTGTAGATATAAATCATTTGAGCTGCTGACAATCCGAAAAAGAAGTTACATATAGAATCAGTTGAGACAATGACAATCCGATTAAGTTGATGTAGAATCATTTGAGCCAATGACGTCCGTGAAAGTAGATATAAAATCCTTTTAGCCGCTGACAACCCATTCAAAAGAGATCATATAGAATCATTTGAGCTGTTGACAGTCCGATAAAGTAGATATAGAATCATTTGAGTCATAAAAATCCGAAAAAGTAGATACTGAATCACTTCAGATGCAGACAATGCGATAAAGAAGCAATATAGAATAACCGCTGATATTTCGACAAAGTTAATATATATAGAGTCATTTGAACCTTTGAAAATCCGATAATGTAGATATAGAATTATTTGTGACGCTTACAATCAAGAAAAAGTAGGTATACTTTATAGGATTGTCAGCTGCTTAAATTATTCTGCATCTACATTTTCGGATTGTCAGCGTCACAAATGATTCCTTGTCCAATTTATCGAATTGTCATCGGGTTAAAATTATTACTTATCTACTTTTTAGGATTGTCAGTGGCTCGAATGACAATTAGATTGGTCGAATGAGTCTTTATATCTACTAACTCGAATTGTCATTGGATCAAATGATTCTACATCTACTTTATCGGATTGTCATTGTCTCAACTGATTCTATGTATCTTTAAGTTCAGCTTTCATTCCTTGAATTCCGTTTGACAACATTGAGCTTGTTTTTTGCCAAATAACACAAGACATGTTTGTTCCAAAAATATGTCATTTATTATGAAATGTTTATTGGAATGTCAGCGGCTTGAATGATTTTATATCTACTTTTTCGGATTGTCAAAATCCCCAGTACAGGTAAAGTTTGACACCTGGAGTATTTTAATTGTGTACTGTATCTATTTTTTTGTCAGCGGTTCAGTTGACGTCAAAAACAGAGTTTGTCTTAAAGGAAACTTCAAACCCACAGGGCTCCAGAAAGTCGTTACAAATTACGTCAGTGAGTAGTCATGTACACCTTGAAAAAGTATATTTAGGCAATGGTATTTATCTATCAGAAAGAGATTTTTATCTTAGATAATTTGGTAATTATAGTTTAATTCTTGTGCTATATTAATTGAAGCTATTTCTTATGTTCATATATATACATATAATTAACCTTTGTCTGGTGTTTCAAATGCAGAGAATTCAAGTTAGATTTCTTTCCTTTTCGATGATGTCTGTAAAATACAGTCGTGCAATTGGAGAAGACCTAAAAACCCCGCGTCTACAAGTTTAAGTTTTGTCATGTTGTAAATTTTGAATTTACCGGGTGGCAGTAAATACAAAATTTACAACATGACAACAGCTGTCATGTTGTAAATTTTGTATTTACTGCCACCCGGTAAATTCAAAATTTACAGCATGACAGTTTGTCAAAATGAGTCATTCCTTAAAGTAACATTTTAAACATGGAGTTGAGTTGAATGCATATCGTATATGTTGTCTTTGTTTTGTTTTTAGAGGAATACGTCATGTGTGCCTCCTGTAAATCATTTAATTCACTTCTTATTCGGGAAACACGCCTAAACTTTGTTCAATGCGAGGGGTGCGGATCCAGACGGGCGGTGAATGCTGTAAAATCAGGCTTTCGAGCAGTTACCTCTCGAGACAGACATCGATAGATGTCCCACAAATATACAACAATTAATATTGATTATCTGATGTTATGTGTACATTATTGCCCGCTTTTGTAGATACAGATCTTATTTCATAAAAGTCATTAAAAAATGGCTGTGAAATTCATTGTTAAAAATAACAGCTTGTTTATTTTTACAAGAATTCTTTGACGAAACATGTAGATTTTCTTGGTTGATACGCTGTGACTTTTTATAATCGTTCGTACTTGTATCAAATGTACTACTTTTCTTTAATTTGCATGACACATGTAACATACATGTATAAATATCTGGAACTAGAAGTAATAAAAACTTGTTTCCAATCTTTTTGAAGTATATATGTGCATGTATAGACGTTTTTAATAAAATATGTTCAAAGCAATTAATTAAGTCTTTCTTATAATTGATTTGTTGGGAACAATAACGTTAAATAAGTGTTTTTATCTACGTTACTACTTATATGTACTTCTCATGGGCACTTGGTTCCAGGAAAGTGTGTTGTGTGATTCCAACAATTTTGACTTGCATTTGAGAGACTTAAACCCTAGCCATAAGCTGCTAAACGGGGGCTAAATTAAATCATGTTTAGATAATTTTAAGGTAGTCCGATCCTCAGGTTTATAAAATTAGCAGTTAAGTAATCATAAAAGTATTTATGAATCCACAAAGTTATGTAAATTTATCCACAATATTTCTTTAAAGTTAAAAATTAAAGTTAATCATATTATATAGGGGAAAATTCTCAAATTTTCAATATTTTTGCAGAAAAAGCGAATTGGAGTATCAGCAATGCATTTTCTAATTGCAGTTTGACCAACGAATATATTTTAGGTTAAAAAACGATAGGTATCCAGGCATTCAGAGAAATTGTCATGATTTTTATACTTGTTTGGTATTTTTCGTCTTCTATTTCCGTCATGTATTCTATAATACATAGTGTAAAAGGCTTTTGCTTTCATTGCAAGACACCACAGATCACTTCGTATTTCATATCATGCTAATAAACATTGGTATCTAAGGTTGGATTTAAGAAAATCTTATTTCTAAAAAAAAAAAAAAACTGTATTAATTTTTTTATCTTTTATAGGGTACAAATATCAACTTTTATAAGAATTTTTCTAAGACTTCCAAAAACACTGAATTTATAAAGATTAATAAAATGAAAATTGTTGCTTGAAAAAATTTGATTTTAAAGCTTCATTTTGATGGATTTCAAATAAAATATTAATTTTTGGAGTTATCCTACCAGGCTGAGGATCAGATATCCTTAACGACCGCAGAAATAGGGAAAGAGAATGAGGTGGTAAAAAAAAAATGGATTCAAAATACCATAAATTTTCTGAAACCGAAGCAGCAGTATTTTCGTCCCAGGTACAGAAAATGTAGACCTCCATTCTCTTATCAAGAAAATTGGAAGACACGATGATGGACATGGACGTGGATTATACACGGCTATTGAACATGTTCTTATTAATTAGGGATTAGTTATATGCAAAGCTACTTATGGATAGTACGAATAATTCATCTTCCCAGGTAGTATAGTGGTTAGGATTCCGCGCTCTCACTGCGGCGGCCGGGGTTCGATTCCCCGTCCCGGAATAGTTTTTACTGTTAATTGTAGCTTATGCAACAAGTTCATTTCAAAAACCTAGCAACGGCGACGAAAAAAGCTTACATCAAAACCCAAAATAAAAATGTTTTCATATTCTACATCCCTACATCATGCTTTTATATCTGGTTGACAACATTATTCAAATGTATTTTGAATTGACAATAAGACGTGTTGACAATTTATATATTCAGCTCATTTATAGTAAAATGAGTCAGCATAATACACATTGTTGAGGTAATTTGGTTTCTGTGTCAAATGGAGATGTATATACATCTAACTGTTATCAGACATTGCGCATATATAATGAGATTAAAATTAAGACTTTCAGGCATTCAATATACATGTATCTTATGATATAACCTGTCTACCTGTCGACCTGTCGACTTGTCGACCTGTCAAACCTGTCAAATTTTTGTTCTTCATTTAAACTGTTGACCTGTCTACCTGTCGACCTGTCAAATTGTTGTTCTTAATTTAAACTGTTGACCTGTCTACCTGTCGACCTGTCGACTTGTCAGCCTGTCGACCTGTCAACCTGTCGACCTGTCTACCTGTCAAATTGTTGTTCTTAATTTAAACTGTTGACCTGTCTACCTGTCGACCTGTCGACCTGTCAACCTGTCGACTTGTCAGCCTGTCGACCTGTCAACCTGTCGACCTTTCAAATTGTTGTTCTGAAAACAATTTCATTTGTTTGATATTCATTAAATAGTAATTTGCATTTAATGTTTTGTTCATATATTTATATTAGAATATAATTGATATAATTATACATGAATATTTATGATCTTACAAAAATATTATAATAACAAAACCGATTTACTGCAGATTATGTGGATAGGACTATTTTCGTCTTATTTTGTACTTGACCCAAAATATATAACAGATTATGATAAAAATAAAATGTCATTTGTTGAAGTTGTGGCTAATATTGCTCTTTATACTTTTATAAAACTTCTGAACACGAAGAATACGAAGTTCAGAAATTATATAAAAAAACTTTACACCAACTCGTATTCACTTTGGTTTTTTTATGAGCTGAAAAACATAAAAATCTAGCTTTCCAAACCAATAAGGTGAAAAGCCATGATTTAGTCATTATTGTAAAACAAAACAAGAAAAGCAATTTTCTGAGAGTAAAAAAAAATCATTACAAAATCTGAGATTGTTATTATATATTATAAGTCTTTCTTATAATTAATTTGACGGGAAAAATATTTAACGTTAAATACAGTTGCTGTTTTTATCTACGTTACTACTTATATGTACTTCTCATGGGCACTTGGTTCCAGGAAAGTGTGTTATGTGATTCCAACAATTTTGACTTGCATTTGAGAGACTTAAACCCTAGCCATAAGCTGCCAAACGGGGGCTAAATCACGTTTAGATAATTTAACGACCACAGAAATAAGGAAAGAGAATGAGGTGGTCAAATAGTAAATGGATTTAAAATATATAAATTTTCAGAAACCAAAGCAGCAGTATTTTAGTCCCAGGTACAGAAAGTATAGACCTCCATTCTCTTATCAAGAAAATTGGATGACATACTGATGGATATGAACGTTGATTATGCATGAGTCAGCATGACTATGGCATATGTTGTTCTTATTAATTAGGGATTAGTTATATGCAAAGCTACTTATGGATAGGGGTTGACAGTTCCCAGGTAGTCTAGTGGTCAGGATTCCGCGATCTCACCGCGGCGGCCGGGGTTCGATTCCCCGTCTGGGAAAAATTTTTACTGAACATTGTAGCTTATGCAAAAAGTTCATTTCAAAAACCTAGCAACGGCGACGAAAAAAAGGTTAAGTCTATTCTACAGCTTACAGCAAAACTCAAGATAAAATTGTTTTAATTTCTACATTCCTCAGCATTTAACTTACAGACATCTTTTATTACGATGTTTGTATTAGAAATTATTCAGACAAATCGAATTAACGATAAACAAAATACATGTATATAACAGATTATGATAAAAATAAAATGTCGTTTGTTGAAGTTGTGGCTAATATTTCTCTTCATACTTTTAATGACTCTTCTGTACATAAGAATACAAAAGTCTTGTTCAGAAATTAGGTTGGAAATCTTTACACCAATTTGTATAGTTATTTTTTTATGAGCTGAAAAACATAAAAATCTAGCTTTCCAAACCAATAAGGAGAAAAGCCATGATTAAGTCATTATTGTAAAACAAAACAAGAAAAGCAATTTTCTGAGAAAAAAGTTAGAGATGGTCAGCAGGCGCCTCAAATGAAAGACACCCATCCTGCAGTCAGTTGTTTTTGCCGCGTCAGTTTGATACGAAGTGAAACTAGAAAAAAGGCTTGTCATAATATATAAATAAACAGTCTAGTGAGTTTTCTTTTTTTATTCAAAAACCATGCCACCAGTTTAACATTACTGAAGGATGTTTCATTCTGAAAAATAAAAGAAATGATTTTTTTTTAATTGATTACAATAACAAAGCTTTGTAATTATAAATAGTCATGAAGTGGATTATAATTTCTTCAGGTCAGTATTTTGTGCTTAAGGGACTCCGACCCTCAGCTAGGAAGGACAACTCCTTAATTTACAATTTTAAAATTCAAAAAGTCTTTAAATGAAGCTTGAAAATTAAATCTTTTCATGCAGCAATTTTCATTATATGCCTCTCAATGTGCTTGATCAAGGTTCTTTGAACTTCTCAGAAAGGCCTAATTAAAAGTAGAAATTTTTATCCCGAAAAAGCATTTTTAGATACCAATGTTTATTAACATGATATGAAATTAGAAGTGATTTATGGAGCTTTGCAAAGAACCTTGGCACATTGAGAGGCATATAATGAAAATTATTGCATGAAAATATTTAATTTTCAAGCTTCATTTAAAGACTTTTTGAATTAAATTATAAATTAAAGAGTTGTCCTTCCTGGCAGAGGGTCGGAGTCCCTTAAGGACCATCTATAACTAGTATGCTGCATTTTTACAAAATTTATAGCATTTTTATAGTGATGACAGTATACGATAGCATGTCTATCAAAGTACTGCAGTGTACTGTAGTTTCAAGGATTGATTGCGTCAACTGAATGACATCATTGATTCCTTTTCCAAATATGCGACAAGTTAGGAGGTTTAGCAGGAAGCCTATACATGTATATACATTTACTTTTGTGAAGTTTGCAATTATTTACTTAATATCCGAGTTTGCAAAAAAAAAATCTAAATCTAGATCATATACATGTACCTTCAAACGTTTTGTATATCATCCATTGATTTACTGATGTTTGTAATTAACTGTGTAGCTTAATTGTGGAAATTCCCTCTGATCTCAATGTTATCATTCATCTACATAGAACTTGTTGTGTTTGAGGTAGGACTGTAAACCTTATCATGGAATATAATGAGATAACAAACAGTATTCAACCTCAAAAGTCCACTAAACTATAAATCTGGAGCAGAGCAAACATAGACCTCTAAAAACATCAGAGGTGGGATCGGGTGCCATGGAGGAATGAGCATCCCCATCCGACCGGTCATAACCCCAGGGTGCTCCCTAGCATTTTGGGAAATAACAGAAAAATTTATTGACAATATTCTGTGTGTATGTAATGGCCTAACAATTAGTATGAAAAACAGTAGTCAGCATTTGTAGATAATACAGATATACACTGATCATTAAAAATTACCAACTATACGAGAGGACTTGTAAATCCCCGATAAATCCTTCTTGCCAAGTATGAACTTTCTAGAAAACAACCTGTCCATATTCCAAGCCAATGCAAGTCTCTCTTTTGGAGTTGCCATTCCAAATCTACTGGGTTATATGCTTTTTGTCGGGGGTGAAGAAATCCATCTGTAAATTCAATAAAGGAGTGTTCAAAAACTCATTTCATTTCTTTATAATGTCAGAATTATACATTGTTTCTTTCATTGTTCCGACCCCCTGTGTGTTTGCAGTGAAACTGGTTTGAAGTGAAATTCAAGGGTTCAATATTTATACATCTGTGAATATCTGTTTAAAATATTTTTAATCTCAGTCAAATATCTTTGATTGTATGCAATTTATGATTTTTTCTTAAAGAAAATCATTATGACATAGACTCTATTTCAAATGTAGTACTATCAACACTAATTAAACAAGAGGTGTTTGTAATACTATCAACACTAATTAAACAAGAGGTGTTTGTAAAATACTTATGCCCCCTCCCCCAAATTGGATTTTTTCCAAGTCCAAGGGGCATAAATCTGTCAAAAATGGTGCGATCGTACACAAAACAAAACTTGACCTAGATTTCGTCGGATAATTCTGTATACTAAATTTCATTACAGTAAGTATGTGCAACCTCTACAAAGAAAACTAGAGGTACTGTGAGCAATGAGCTCAATAAATGATACCCCGCCTCCCATATGTTTAAAATGGCAGTGTCCGTGTTTTGCTATGGGAAATCCAAAATATGTGTCGGATCAAAAAGTAAAATAGGAGGTGCACAATGGCAATATGTAATAAAGATTCTCTGAAAGTTTCATTAAATTTCATTCAGTGGTATGAGATGAGTTGCGGCTAAGAGATGGGTACCCCAAAGCGTAACAGACAGACGGACGGACGAACGGACGTACCGATTTCTATATACCCTCCCGCTTTTCAAGCGGGGGGTATAATGAACGGAAACTGCTAATAATTGGAATTTTTCTAAGTCTAAGGGGCATAACTCTGTCAAAAATGGCGAGATCGTACCCAAAACAGAATTGGATCTAGATATTTATCTGATAAATCTGTATACAAAGTTTCATTTGAGGAAGTGCAACGGTTGTGAAGAAAATGAACGGAAACTAATTGGACCGACAGACCGACTGACAGAAAAACCGACCGACCGACAGACAGCAGCAAAGCAATAAGCCCTCCCTTCTTCGATGGGGGGGGGGGGGGCATAATTAGATATTTACACCCTCACGATATCAAGGTTTTGTGGAGTTCTGAAATCACAAAACCTTGATATAATGTGGATGGATATAGAAAGCCAATTTGACATTCCGTTGACTTACCTGGTCTTCTAACTTTTGAGGCGATATTTCTTGGTGTTAGTTTATTAAGCTGGTTTTTCAGAAGACCAACTAGTCTGCAATGTAACAATTTATTTACTAAATAAAATGTTCAAACACCAATAATTTTGTTCTGCAGTGAGGCAGCCTCATTCCACAAATCTATATACTTAGTTAGTTTATTTAACGCCAAGGAGTAGAAAAGAAATTTTTCAAAGAATAATGCATTTTCACTATATAATCTATATAGTCCCACCCTGGCACTAGAGCCCCTGACCCAGGACCCAGGGGCCATGAATTTCACAATACTGGTAGAGGACTCAATGCTGATTACTATCATGCTAACAGTTTGACTGCTTGGTGTCCAGGAGTAAAGAAGATTTTTAAAGATTGCATTAATTTTAGTGGTTTTGGCCCCACCCCTCAGGCCCCCCCGGGGGGAGGGGGGGGGGCAGGGACCATGAAATTCACAATTTTTGTTCCCCTTCACACATAGATGCTTTTTGCCAAAGTTGGTTGAAACTGGTTGAGCAATTGCAGAGAAGAAGCTGAAAATGTTTAAATGTTAACGCACGAAGCACACTGCATAACGACGGACGAAAACGGATAACAATAGGTTACCTGAGTTTACACAGGTGACCTAATAACTGAGGAAATTCGAGTTGACTGAAGGACATAATGGTTTGCTTCGCATTACTGAGTTAAACGTGGTCTTTAAAAAAAGTCAAAATATGGAATTGAAATTGTTATATTTTACGCAATAAATTTGTCATGGAAGTAAAGAAAAATAGTAAAATACCTTGTCTCCGAATTCATTTTTTCCGACAGGGGGACTAGCCCTGGGATAATCAGTATAATTGACATGGAAAGCGACTTTTTGCAGCTTTTGGCTGAATGTATCACAAGGGCAGATGAACACGTAGACAGGAAATTGCGCAAAAACAGTCTATGGCACGCCAAATTCACAAAAATGAGCTCAACATAGTTTCACAGTCGACAAACTAGGTTTATTGGTTTACAACGTTAATCTATATTTTACAACTGTAAACCATAGTTAACGCGATAATCTATGTTTCAGAAGCGTAAACTATACTTAACACTGAAAACAATCATTTTCGATTGCAAAACATAGATTATCTGATAAATATAGTTTCACAATTTGTGAAACTATGATTAACAACTCTTAACAATAGTTCACGATTGTAAATTATAGTTTACAGACGTGAATCTATGATTATCAACAAAATCTATTGATAACGTTTTATTAACGGACAGATATGGCACGCCAAATTCACAAAAATGAGCAAAACATAGTAAACTATAGTTAACAACGTTAATCTATATTTCAAATCTGTAAACTATAGTTACCGAGATAATCTATGTTTTAGAACCATAAACTATAGATACTTAACACCGAAAACAATCATTTGCGATTGCAAAACATAGATTATCTGATAAATACAGTTTCACGATTGTAAACTATGGATTACAACTCTTAACTTTAGTTAACGGTCGTAAATTATAGTTTACAGACGTGAATCTATGTTTATCAACAAAATCTATTGTTAACGTTTCATTAGACAGATAAGCTTAGATTAGCATTCGTAAACTATAGTTAACAACCGTTAAATATAGTTTTGCAGATGAAAACTATACTTAACGAATTGTAAACTATAGTTCACGGTTTGTGAACTATAGTTTACAGTCGATAAACCTAGTTTATCAATTGTGAAACTATGTTTACCACGCCAAATTCACAAAAATGAGCTAATCATAGTTTCACAGTCGATAAACTTGGTTAATCGGACTGTTAACTACAGTTAACAACGTTAATCTATATTTTACATTTGTAAACCATAGTTATCGCGATAATCTATGTTTCAGAACCGTAAACTATACATAACACCGAAAACAATCATATGCGATCGCAAAACATAGATTATCTGATAAATATAGTTTCACGATTTGTAAAGTATGGTTTACAACTCTTAACTATAGTTAACGATTGTTAATTATAGTTTACAGACGTGAATCTATGTTTATCAACAAAATCTATTGTTAACGTTTTATTACAGACAGATAAACTTAGATTAGCATTCGTAAACTATAGTTAACAACCGTTAAATATAGTTTTACAGATGAAAACTATACTCAACGAATCGTTAACTATAGTTTTCGGTTTGTAAACTATAGTTTACAGTCGATAAACCTAGTTTATCAATTGTGAAACTAGGTTTAGCTTATTTTTGTGAATTTGGCGTGCCATAGACAGATATGGCACGCCAAATTCACAAAAATGAGCAAATCATAGTTTCACAGTCGATAAACCGGGTTTATCGGTTGTAAACTATAGTATACGGACTGTAAACTATAGTTTACAACGTTAATCTATATTTTACATATGTAAACTATAGTTAACGCGATAATCTATGTTTCAGAAGCGTAAACTATACTTAACACTGAAAACAATCATTTGCGATTGCAAGATATACTGATTATCTATGATCTGATAAATACAGTTTCACAATTTGTGAAACTATGATTAACAACTCTTAACTATAGTTCACGATTGTTATAGTTTACAGACGTGTATCTATGAATATCAACAAAATCTATTGATAATGTTTTATTAACAGACAGATAAACTTAGATTAGCAATCGTAAACTATAGTTAACAACCGTTAACTATAGTTAACGAATTGTTTCGCTTTTCGGGTCCACTCAATCAAAATATTTCTACCCAAAACTCTCAATCGGCACCCCTCTAGATTCGCGCACGGAGACGGGTCGAGGGAATAGAACCCAAAAGGCACGTAAATTGTAGTATTTGAGGGTTTTTCCCGAACATGATGTTTTAATGTAATTCAGTTCCAAAGCCGTTATAAATATGGATTATAAAATTGTCTTGAGAAAAGTGAAAAAGTAAGAACGATACCCCCACGTACCCCTCGGTTTTTTAATAAAAATGTCAATTATTTTAATGGGTGTCACTTCATGCTTCATAAACTTCTTCGAAATGTTTGGCTCTATATATAGTTAGAATTATCTGATTATTGTGTACAAACTCACTGAGGGGTACAAAAAGGAGCCCCCCTTCCTAATAGTTCCCTAAAAATTCCCACCCTTAACTTTTTCTGGATTTTTTTGACGATAAAAACTTCAGACTCTGTGCTCGGGGCCATGGAGCAGTGAGGAATCTTTTTCGTGCCAGCAACTAGTGTGACACGGGACCTCGGTCTCATCCGAAGGACCAGTCTCCGCGTTCCACGGTGGGACTCGAACCCGCGACGTATGGATCAACTCCTTCCTTCGCTACTCTAGAGCATATACGCTCTAACCACTGCACCATGCGGGTGACCAACTGTTTTGAAGAAAAAGATAGAAAATCTACATGAACACACGATCACTTCAAATAATTTTAATATAAATTTTCCGTTCATACAGTGTACCATCGTCGCAAACCATGGCCAACATGTACAATACTTTCCCATTCTGGAGAGAGCTATAAATGCGGACTCCGGACCGTGGCTTGAGACGATGACATGTACATGAATGTGTATTTTACAAACTATACATGAATGAGTCTGTCAATACATTATCAAGTTCCATGATATTTTTCCAAATGAGGGGAGGGGGTTAATGTCCACTAAAAAAGTCATCCAAATGCAAAATACATATTTTTCGTGTCTGTGTGTGTGTGTGTGTGGCTGTGTGTGTGTGTTTGTGTGTGTGTGTGTGTGTGTGTGTGTGTGTGTGGGCAGGATTGTTGGGAGTTTTCACTGGAGTATACCCCTGATAATATATTATTATTTACAAACAATCTTACGAACAGACATGAAATTATTTTTTGTATCTAAATATTTGATCAGGCTTTCTTTATATTTTTATAGTAGGACGAATTGGGGAAAAGATCAAATTAACAATCAATCAAAGAACGAATTAACTTGGCACCCTTATGGCGCCCCCTTTCGTCTTAAGCGTTCGCATAATGCAACCTTGCATAAATTATAAATCACGGAAGTACAATTTACATTTCACAAGTTGACAAATCGCAAGTCTATACAAATCACATGAGAGCATCGGCAAAACTTGCATAATTTACATTTAACACTTGTCAAATTACGTTGCATAGTTACAATATTAACAAATTGTGATAATACAATTGGCAAATTTTGAAATTATATACAGTGTATCTATGATGGTTTACAGTTTGCAAATTCAGGTTAATTACATGTGTACATTTTAGGAATTACAGAGTTGGAATTTTGAACCCGTTGACTTTCCACATCGTCGCAAGCCACGGGTTTTGTGTCCAGACAGAAAACCCGTGGCTTGCGACGATGGGCTTTCCATAGTAATTAGGTTGGAAATCTTTACACCAATTTGTAGCTACAGAGCTGTAGCAAAAAAATATTTGGACAGACCGAAGAGCTACAGTGCCACCCATTGTAACAAGAGGCCCGTGGGCCACATCACTCACCGCTTTGTAATACCTATCTTGACCTTGGCAATCCTAATTGGTCATGATTCAAACAATTTAGAATCTACACTACCCCAGGATGCTTCCACATAAGTTTCAGCTTTTTCAGTCCACTTGACTTAAGAGGAAGGTTTTTATAAAGTTTTTTCCCATATACTTCAATGCAAAACTTGGATTCCCTATTGTCCCCCCGCTCTACCCCCGGGCATCATGATTTGAACAATTTAGAATCTACACTACACCAGGCTTCCACATAAGTTTCAGCTTTTCTGGCCCAGTGGTTATTGAGAAGATTTTTAAGGTTTTTCCTATATATTTCTATGTAAAATTTTGATTTCATTTTGTGCCTCCCAACCCCCGGAGTTCATGATTTGAACAATTTAAATCTAGAGTATCCTAGGATACTTCTATATAAGTTTCAGCTTTTCTGGCCCAGTGGTTCTTGAGAAGAAGATTTTTAAGTTAAATTTTTCCTATATATTTCTATGTAAAACTTGGATTCCCTATTGTGGCCCCGCCCTACCCACGGGGGTCATGATTTGAACTATTTAGAATCTACACTACCTCAGGATGCTTCAATATAAGTTTCAGCTTTTCTGGCCCAGTCGTTCTTGAGAAGATTTGGATAGAATGCACTTTACCGGTACGGCCGCCATTTTGATTCTAGATCCGCGCGTGAGAGTGCGCGGCGTAAAAACTTAGCAACGTATCAACTATGATGGGCGACGCCATTTTGTTGTGTAAGAAACTCTCGAAGCGAGAAAAAAAGATATCTAAATGGGTTTTCGCTTTTTTAAGCGGGGGTGTGGGGGCGGCAGCCCCCAATACGTAAAAATAAATAAAACAAACTTACCTTAGTCGTTAGATAAATCTGCGTTAAGACTCGGGGCCACATCTACGTGTCACTATACATGTAGAACCATTGTGTCTTTTTTTTTGATGAGTTGTAAATACGTTTTTATGGGTGATGATGGAGATAAACGTCAATTTTAAATTATAGCCACTATCCTAGTGCATTCTTGTTTTAGTAGAGATTTCCTATATAACTGCATTCCATGTGGTCTCAATGATTGTAAAGTATCCAGTGTTTTGCAAATTGAAATAGATAAATTTTAGTTCGTAAATCCAGGATTTACTGCAGCTCTGTTTCCAGAAATCTAAGATGTGACTCTTACGTTTCATTTTTCTTATACTGCCGATTGCTGTTTCTCGAAACAAGACCGTCCTCACTGCATGTTTACAAGTTTTGCCCCTCCACTTATTCAACATTTCCATAAACTAAGGATCACATTTATCGCTAAAATTTCCAAAAATTCTAGTATGTTGCAGTCAGTCAATTAAAAATATCCATTCATAGAAAACACAACACAAATCATCTTAAATAAGGTGCATGATGAATCACTGTTTACAATCAAATAGAGTGGAAGTCAAACTTTCTATTTCACGTCACCTACCCTGACCAATCACAGCACTGAAATAAGTCACGTGCTTAACAACGTCACGACTTTGGAATGTGGCCGACAAAATGAAAGCCAAAGGTTTGTTTTGAAAGTGCTTTTAGTTTTAATTAATAACTTCGTTAATTAAACGAAGTTTATTAACATGAAAAATGACGAGGAATTCAAAAAATAGGTTATTTTTGCATTTTATTGCCTTTTTAGCGAAATCGTCACGCTGACGCGTGACTCTCTTATAGAGAAGGAACACGTGCTATTTCCATGTTATTTGGACGTACCGGTAAAGTGCAGTTGTCCCTTTATTTTATCTATTTAAATTCCCCCTTCACCCAAGGATGCCTTGTTTTAAGTTTGGTTAAAACTGGCCTGGTGGTTCTTGAGAAGAAGTCCAAAATGTGAAAAGTTTACAGACGGAAAGACAGACGGACTACAGACAAAATGTGATCAGAAAAGCTCACTTGAGCTTTCAGCTCCTGTGAACTAAAAACTGTATATTTACTGCGTACAAAAAGTTGCGCTTAGTTCTGGATTAATTCTTCCAAATTCTTAGCCAAATTAATCTCCAAAAAGATAGATTAAAAAAATTCCTTACTCCTCTATTAAGTACTCTCGTATTTGACATCTGCACGCAGTACGATGGACCGAATTATCTTGCAAACCAAAATGGCAGTATAAAAAATACACTAAACTTTTGATGATCTCAATTTCAGGGCCAAGTGGGCTTTTAAAAACAATTATAAGGAATGTTTTGTTCTGGAAACAATGAAAAAATATGTTAGGAATACACTGTTAGTAATATTTTGAGATGACAGTTTAAAGACACAGAAAAATTGTTTTTTTTTTTCAATAGGTGGCACTGCAGCTCTCCGGTCTATCAATATGTTTTTTCAGAGAACTACAGTTCTGCAGTTAAGGTCAGACGACACGTTCCTCGAAAATATATAATTTTTCCTAAGAATTTCTCATTGAAGTCTAGGTACTTAAACAAGTTTCCTCATAAAAAATTAGGATACCTTACCAGGCATTTGGACAAGATACCACTGGGTCATATTTCTTATATAATTCTTATATAACGCTTATTGGTAATCTTCTGAAAGGCCTATACATAACAATTTTTAGTGTACTTATTTTTAAAAACATTTTGAAAACGATATAGAAATGAGAAGACAATGACAAATTTAAATGCTGTTGATATAATACCAAGAAATACAAAACATAAATTTGAGGAACGTGTCATCTGACCTTAACCAATTTGTACAGTTATTTTTTTATGAGCTGAAAAACATACAAATCTAGCTTTCCAAACCCCCCCCCCCCCCATAAAAAGCCATGATATAGTCATTATAGTAAAAACCAGAAGTCTCTGTCAAGACTGTAGCTCTACTGGCTTGTACTTATAACAAAGGATGAGAAAAATAGCCATTGCCATCAGACCAAAACTGTTGAAGGGGTAGAGTTTTAAAGGAATTTCACAGACATTTCTATTTTTAGTAACAATGGCAACACTGTTCATCGAAATCAAAAACTGATGCATTATTTCATGTATCTCAGTGTAGTCTACTTGTGTGCCAAGTTATATTGAAATCAGACCAAAACTATAGAAGGAGTAGCATTTTAAAAGATTTCACAGAAATTCTATTTTTAGTAACCATGGCAACACTGTTCATCGAAATCAAAAACCAATGCACTATTTCATGTATCTTAGAGTAATCCACTTGTGTGCCAAGTTATATTGAAATCAGAACAAAACTCTAGAAGGAGTAGCGTTTTAAAGGAATTCACAGACATTTCTATTTTTAGTAACCATGGCAACACCGTTCATCGAAATCAAAATCCGATGCACTATTTTATGTATCTAAGTGTAGTCTACTTGTGTGCCAAGTTATATTGAAATCAGACCAAAACTGTAGAAGGAGTAGCGTTTAAAGGAATTTCACAGAAAATTCTATTTTTAGTAACCATGGCAACTCACCGAAATCAAAATCCGATGCACTATTTTATGTATCTTAGTGTAGTCTACTTGTGTGCCAAGTTATAATGAAACCAGACCAAAACTGTAGAAGGAGTAGCGTTTTAAAGGAATTTCACAGAAAATTCTATTTTTAGTAACCATGGCAACACCGTTCATCGAAATCAAAATCCGATGCATTATTTTATGTATCTTAGTGTAGTCTACTTGTGTGCCAAGTTATAATGAAATCAGACCAAAACTGTAGAAGGAGTAGTGTTTTAAAGGAATTTCACAGAAAATTTTATTTTTAGTAACCATGGCAACACCGTTCATCGAAATCAAAATCCGATGCATTATTTTATGTATCTTAGTGTAGTCTACTTGTGTGCCAAGTTATATTGAAATCAGACCAAAACTGTAGAAGGAGTAGCGTTTTAAAGGAATTTCACAGAAAATTCTATTTTTAGTAACCATGGCAACACCGTTCATCGAAATCAAAATCCGATGCACTACTTTATGTATCTTAGTGTAGTCTACTTGTGTGCCAAGTTATATTGAAATCAGACCAAAACTGTAGAAGGAGTAGCGTTTTAAAGGAATTTCACAGAAAATTCTATTTTTAGTAACCATGGCAACACCGTTCATCGAAATCAAAATCCGATGCACTATTTTATGTATCTTAGTGTAGTCTACTTGTGTGCCAAGTTATATTAAAATCAGACCAAAACTGTAGGAGGAGTAGCGTTTTGAAAAATTGTTTACAGACAGACGGACAGACAGACAGACGGACACCTTACTATCGCATAAGCTCTTCTGGTCTCTGACCAGTAGAGCTAAAAACAAAAACAAGAAAAGCAATTTTCTGAGAGAAAATATTTTATTACAAAATCTGAGATTTTATTGTATTGCAATCTCATTCACTCAAAAAAAAGTTTATTGCAGCAAGGACATAAAATGGAATTGGGATTCAAGAACTCTTCCAACTAAAAATACCCTATAAATAGTTTAGTTATATGGATATTCCAATTTCCAGCCATAGAAAATCATTATATAACTTACATTACTACTAGAGGATAGACAATGGAGATTTTAATTTCATATTTAACTGATATAAATTTACCCCAACATGTATCTTTATTTTCTCATATAAAGTTTTATGTATACATATCTAATTTGAAAGTAATGAACTTAATCATTTGCATAAATTTACAGTAACTAGTGGAATGTGCATAAAAATTTTTTTTTTTTGAAAATGGTCCATAAATGTAAAAATGTTGAACAGATAATGTCAATAAAAAATATACATTCAATGTCAGCAACAATAAACCTAAAGAACAACAAATCCATGATTTTTATTTCATAAATATGTCTACTGCAATTTGATATGTTCTTTATTATTACTAAAAAGACAGATCATTTCTTGTAAGCTTTTAGCTTAGAGATTTTAATGCATAGTGATATATGTTAAATAGAGAATCATAAAAAAATATATATACATATCACACAACTCTAAAGAAACATGCCCTCTTCTGAGCTAGTCAGATGGGATAAGGGACTTTGTTTACACTTTGTCATCTGTATCTAGTCCTTTGTCTTTATAGAGCTGCCCCATGACATCTAGTAAGGGTGACATTGTCTCTAAATACACATCCATATCATTTATTACCTACAGAAAAAAAACAACTACAATAAAATGGAACTTCACATGTCAAACACTTGTAGCAAATTTACATTTAATCCACTTTTGGTTCGGTTGAAATACATCTGCTATATCCTATAGTATAATTTCTACTGAAAAGATTTACAAGTATGCCTTAAAACTTTGTAACCAATATTATTTACACAAAAATATGTACAACTTACACATAGGCCGTAAAATTCATAGCATGTTTTGTATATGGAGCAATATTTTAAACATTAATTATATTTAATCAGCAATGTTTCCAGTTGAAGATCTGTAGCACACTAGTCTGAAAAAAAAAATTGGATGGACGACCAGAGTGGTACTTTGCCTTCAATTGAAAAAGTGTTTACCATGGTATTTATTGCACACGAAAAAATGTTATGTACGTTTCTCACAATTTTTTCAGACTTGCAAACTTCAGATCTCCAGCTACAATGTTTCTTGAACGTTAGCTATTAAGTTTGTGACAATGATTAATGGATAATATATTAGACATTCTTACCTGTTCCTCCATTCCTTCTTTTCCTAAGGCCATCTTCAATAAGAAATCCTTCCTGTATGGTGCAAAACTAGAAACTCCCTTCAATATAATGAATTATAAATTAGATTTCAGTTAACAAACAGATGCCTATGCAGTTTAAGGGCATTTTAATTACCAGTACTCTGCACAAATGCATTTAATGTTTTTTATTTCATTTTGCACACTTTACTGCTTAGTTTTATTTAAAAAAAAAAAAAAACAGCTTCACGCTTTTTACATGAGTTCATCATATTCATTCGATTAATTTAATAAAGAAAAAAAAAATGTTTAAATTTTAAGATACACAATATTGTGCAACACAGTACTTTAAAATGTCTTACAGAGAACACTTTTTTGACAATAAATCCATGGTATTTTTTCAGGGTGGCCTCGTAAGCAGCAGTGATGATTTGTTTCATACTCTCCTCTTTACTTCCTCCTTTGTATTCCTTTATTAATAACTGCATGAATGTTCGCAAAAAATTCAAACCTCTGAAAACAAATGTATGCTAGTTTAATATCACAATTTTTTTTTTGTTTCTTCATTATTATTTTTGTGATTAAGAAGAGTTCCAAGACCTCACATCCTCCATAAAAATGTAAAATTTCAAATTTTACGAGGCAAAATTTTTTTTAGCACAAAGTCAAATCAAATTCCAAATAACATGAACTTTTTTCCTTAAACCACAAAAATTAGACCCCATGAAAATGATCTTTAAAAGAAGATGATACAGTATAAAAAAATAACTTACCTTACTAGCCACAGTCCTCCCACTTTAGCTAAATCTGTACTTTTGTTTTCCATTTCATCATCTAACATGGCATTTATAGTGATAAACTTCTCCTTGTCCATCTCATACTTTTTCTGTAGTTTCTGTTCAAATATTTTCATAAAAACAATCTCATTGATTTTTAAAAAAAATTTATTTTCCAACATGTCAGAATCCAACAGAATGCAACAGAAAAAATTTAATTTATTTTACCTCTATGTTTCCATTGATATCACTCTTAACAGGTGAAAATGCTTTTCCAAAGGCAGCTGCAGATAAAAAATATAATATATATAAAATATAAATCACAACAATTAAAGTTCATTTATTTTATATAACAATAAAGTGCCACGCCACAGCATGATACGCCCGTCAAAAAATTACAATTATAATGTATCTTAAACAGTTAAAAGTGTAGGAAAATCATGTCAACCTTGATTTTAAGATTTCAATGATTTTTACACACCTTAAAAAATTTGTTTATCCATCTCATGTGGTGTAGGCATTAATTATAACAAATATTGCATCATTCATAGATTTCTATACCTTGCCAAATGCCTATCATGTTAAACAATATCAAATTAATCTTCACAACTTAATCTATACCTAATTAATTTTGGAAATAAAAGGCTGGCCATCAAATATAAACTGACCAACAGTTCTTCTGTCTAATTCCCGAAGGAGACAATTAAGAGCATATGCTCTGAAGTAATGAAAGAGACATGCAGCTAGCCTTCCTACATTGAACACATTAATTAATCTTTAACTGGATGCTTGTCTACTCATTACTCCCAAAAGATTATTGGATCTGCACTATCTACCATTAAACATTTTTAAAATGTATAAAACATCAATGATTTTTTTTTTTTAGATTTAATGTCAGACAGTTAATTGTTAATATGCAATTCACATGGACATGCAGATTCAACCCCTACCCCCATAAAATTAATTTTTAAGTTCACAATATTATGTAATAGTTTAATATGCAATATCAAATTAGTTTTAATTACTTCTCATCAAATTCATTTTAAAACTTTGGCTATCCAAGAAGAGCTATTTTTAATCCAAAAGGCTTACCCATTTGGCCCAATACTCAAGGGATATAGATAGCACTGATGCTCTTACAGCTACTCCTCACACTAAACTCATTAATTTCTCTCTCTAATTTGACATGCAATTTTCTGTTATCAAAATTCTTCTTGACCAGTGCTTGATAATTAGACTCATGGGAGTGGTGGAATTTCTCTAACATACATTACATTTGTTATAGATTGCTGTCAAGTATACGAGGGTTGTTCGAAAAGTTCGTGGACGATGTCCATCTTCGTTATATTACTGACTGGAAATTTAAAACAAGCACATTATAATATGTAAAAATGCTTGTTTTGTTGATGTGTGAAAATTTCCTTCCATTCAATTTAACACAAATAAATTTACTTCATTGTAAATTCAACATGTTTTGTACCCGCGGAGCACACAAAACGGCAATGTAACGTCAACACATAGCGTCGAGAATTTAAAATAGATACTATACTTATACACTTCACACAAAATATTCCAATGCCAATTCATAAATTTTTTTTTCTAATACATGACATTAATTTTTTAAGAATTGATCTCATTGTATAATTTCCTTTGTTAAGGTTTTAATTTCTTTTAGTACTTAACTCTGCTTTCACAGGATAAAGGACTCTGAAGCGCCTTTGTCTTTCATTTACGTTTCGAATTTTTAAGTTTTTTTCAGATGTTTACAGTAAAACCGTTTCTACAAAGGTCATCCTCATCCGATACAGAGTCTCTGTCACTAAAATACTGCCTGGACTATTTGTACACACATGCACAACTCGCTTGTGACATATTTTCTTGATTCCTTGAACATTTTAGAGTTTATTCAGGATTTTTCCTGAGAAAAACACAAAATTGCTTCGATATCTGCTGCTCCGTGATGTTCTAAAACGTCATCGTTTTTGTCGTTTTCAATAAGTACCACTTCTCTTCTCAAGTTGATTTCTTTTCAACGAATAAAAATATAAAACCATAGTTTGGTATACGAATCGATGTAACAATTCTTAATTTGAATTTCTAGGCAGTTTTTCGTTTTCCCTCCATTTTACAGTGAATATGACTATAGACATTATTTATTGTTTTGTCTGTAACTGACTAAATTTTGACCTGCTCCGCGATCCGATTTTTGTATTTTTAAAATCTGGATAAGTTTTTAATCAATCGTAATATTTTGTTAAAATTGATACATATCATTTGGATTTATTGCTAAAATATTTCTACTAAATTTGGATAACATGTGACGTCAAATAAAAAAGATATGACAGTTGTCCACGAACTTTTCGAACAACCCTCGTATATGCTAAAAAAATAAGTATTTTCTTAATTTAACATTTTTCTAATAAGGTTAGTGCAATAGTTTTACATTTTTTTGAATGTGTAAATGAATAGAAAAAAAGACATTTCTTTTTAAAAATTCCACTTAAATTAAAGGTCACAGTGACCTTGAAATAGGTCGCGACACACCTTCTACCTAAGATGCATAAACTGGCCAAGTTTGATGATTCTAAGTCTAATAGTTTTCTAGTTATGAACCGGACAGGATTTTTCCATATTTGGCTATAACTTTTTAATTATAGGTCAGAGTGACCTACTTTTTGTGCGCGACACACCTTCTACCCAAGATGTATCAGCTGACAAAGTTTGATAACTCTAGGCCTTATAGTATTCAAGTTATGAGCCGGACACGAGAAAAGCTAACAGACGGACAGACAGACAGACAGACAGACAGCTAGACAGACGGACGGACACGAAGCCTATAACATAATACGTCCCGTCTTAAGACGGGCGTATAAAAATGGGGTTCATACATGTACATTCTAGCATCAGAAAGGAAAACTGAGAAGTCTCGGGTTTTATACTTTTAACCACAAGTTTTGTATCCCATGCATCTTAAGTCTTAAAAGATGTAACAAGGTAATTTTCAAGGAATAAATGAGTGGTTTACAATAAAGAGGCTCGACCAGAGACATTTGAACAATTAATTTGACAAGAAAAATGTTTGTCAAAATAAAGGACTCCGATGTCATTTTTAAAGTACATTGTAGGTTTAGTGTTAAATCTAGACCCTAAAACGGGCATGGTAATCAAGGAATCGAAAGGGCACTTTGTGTCGCGACAGGATCTCACGAGGGCGCTTTTAAAACAAGTGTTAATGCTTTTAAAATTATATTAAACATTTATTAATTTTTACATACCTTAACATGTTTAATTACTTTTAATAAATATCCTTTCATATTGAAATCTTTATTTAAACAAGTAACTTAAAGATAAATTCATATATTTGTATTCCATTCATTTTCCTAAACCAGAAGTCTCTGTCGAGACTGTAGCTCTACTGGTTTGTACTTATCAAAAAACCATTGCACTATTTTATGTATCTTTGTGTAGTCTACTTGTGTGCCAACTTATTTTGAAATCAAACTAAAACTGTAGAAGAAGTATCGTTTTAAAGGAATTTCACAGAAAATTCTATTTTTAGTAACCATGGCAACACCGTTCATCGAAATCATAAACCGATGCACTATTCTATGTATCTTAGTGTAGTCTACTTGTGTGCCAAGTTATATTGAAATCAGACCAAAACTGTAGAAGGAGTAGCGTTTTAAAGGAATTTCACAGAAAATTCTATTTTTAGTAACATGGCAACACCGTTCATCGAAATCAAAAAGCGATGCACTATTCTATGTATCTTAGTGTAGTCTACTTGTGTGCCAAGTTATATTGAAATCAGACCAAAACTGTAGAAGAAGTAGCGTTTTAAAGTATTTCACAGAAAATTCTATTTTTAGTAACCACGGCAACACCGTTCACGGAAATCAAAAACCGATGCACTATTCTATCTATACTAGTGTAGTCTACTTGTGTGCCAAGTTATATTGAAATCAGACCAAAACTGTAGAAGAAGTAGCGTTTTAAAGGAATTTCACAGAAAATTCTGTTTTTAGTAACCATGGCAGCACCTTTCATCGAAATCAAAAACCGATGCACTATTCTATGTATCTTAGTGTAGTCTACTTGTGTGCCAAGTTATATTGAAATCAGACCAAAACTCTAGAAGGAGTAGCGTTTTTAAAAAATTTCACAAAAAATTCTATTTTTAGTAACCATGGCAACACCGTTCATTGAAATTAAAAACCGATGCACTATTCTATCTATACTAGTGTAGTCTACTTGTGTGCCAAGTTATATTGAAATCAGACCAAAACTGTAGAAGAAGTAGCGTTTTAAAGGAATTTCACAGAAAATTCTGTTTTTAGTAACCATGGCAGCACCTTTCATCGAAATCAAAAACCGATGCACTATTCTATGTATCTTAGTGTAGTCTACTTGTGTGCCAAGTTATATTGAAATCAGACTAAAACTGTAGGAGGAGTAGCGTTTTTTTTGAAAAATTGTTTACAGACAGACGGACAGACAGACAGACGGACGGACGCCGGACGCATTACTATCGCATAAGCTCTTCTGGTCTCTGACCATTAGAGCTAAAAATACCAACACAATTAGCACACATGGACTGACATGACAATAATTGAAACAAAAAGGATATAAAAAAGGCTTTACATACAATTTCTTTATCAAAAAAGTAGTGAGGTTACACTTGAGAAAGTAATGGTATTATTCTAGCTGAGACATCTGCGAAAATTATTAAAGTTTGGAGGTATGATTTACCTGCTTGGACTGTGTTATTTGTGTACTAGTACAGTCAATTTAAACATTAAACGATAATACTTTTTTTCAGGGAAGGGGGAGGGGCATTTTGAAAAAAATACATGTAGAGACCATTCTCTTTACTTGGAAAATATTTTACCAACAGGATCAAGTGAAAACTGGCCTTACTCCCAAAAAAATTAATGCAAATATAATTTGTTTTTTAAAAAAAGTCTGGCTTTAATTAGAAACATTGACCCTCAGCTTGTCAAATCCAAAGAAACTAACTTAGTTTGTTGTTTTTGAGCCTTTTTATCACATTACATTCAGTTTTTTGGTACACTGTAAGTATTTTATTCAGATATTAAAAATATCCATTTTTTCTTCAAGTTCAACTATGTGTTTTTTTCTACTTTCGGTTAAAAAAAAAACGATCCTGATTTTAATTAGTTAATAATTTACAAGTTCATTTATCATTATCTTGGGCTAATTCTTGCATAATCAATGCAATCAAATGACAATTTCTCAAGTTAAATCCTCTACCCTGATAGCCTGAGGCATGTTAATTAGCCAGGTGGCTGTGTTCGTGCGTTCAGACACTTCAAACGTGAAGTGATTTCCTGTCGTTGTATAAACAAAGGGATTATCAGCATGCACTGAATAAACAGAACAGCTAAGGAATATTGCCTAAACTGGGCATATTTATTAATTTTTGGTTAGGAAATAAGGGCATGGCGCTGGAAAAAAGGGCATGGCGCCGAGGAAAAGGGGCATGGCGCCGCGCCATGCTAGTTTGCTTTATATTTAACACTAAGGTTAATGATTGATATATATATATTAAAACATGTTTAACAAAATACCAACTTGAAGCAGGGGTGCCTGGAATCAAGTTAAGAACCATGTGGTAAAATAAGTAGAGAGTGCACCCCAAATATGAAACAAGTGCATGTGATCATGGTGATACGGTATTAATAGTCAAATGCATATGACTTTTTGTCTATTTCTTACAAAAATATGCATAAAAATAACTAGATCAAGCTTTCAATTTTTGAATAGCTTTATAAAGTTACATAGCTTAATTTCAAGCTATGTAGCTAAATCAAGAGATTGTACTGGACCTGTATATTTCGCAATGTACGGCACCATATGCTAAATAAACGTGCACATAAAATTTATCCCTGTATACATGATACCCCAACCGATCATTTAAAACCTCCTGCCTATAAAACATAATTTTCTGCATCCGATGCAACATGACATAGCCTAAAGTTTGTCGCGTGATCAGCAGGTCCAGTACAATCAGTACATTTAGCTACGTAGGTAGAATTACCTACGTAGCTTTATTTACCTACCTCAGGTAGCTTTATTTAGTATTTCAATGTAACTTTTCTTTTTATGGAAAAGAGACAAAAAAATCGCAGTGAAATGACTATTGATATTTATACTAAGGAGACTTTAAAAATCATTCCAAAGCAGAGATAGTTTAAACATCGCTGTGTTTGGTCAATTTAGAGCAAAACATGTAATTCCATTGTTTGGTTATCTGTCTGTGCGGTGAGGCATGACTGAGTATGATTACTTCACATTGTGCTGAATAATTACCGACCTATTATCATGTTAACCAGAACTGGACTTCTTTGTCATTTCATTCAAGGAGTAACTGTTCTGTCATACATAGCCCCAAAACTTTCAGAACTTTGATTGCAATTGCGCAGAAAAAGACATTTCTTCAAGAGGGAATTTTTCATAAATTGTTTTCAGATGAGTTCAAAGTTGAAAATGATCACTGCATCAAAATGATAGTTTTTGCACATCCTGAGAAAAATGCTTTTTTTATAGAAATAAATTCATTTGGTAGCTAAATCAAGCTACCTGAGGTAGGTAAATAAAGCTACGTAGGTTATTCTACCTACGTAGCTAAATGTACTGATTGTACTGGACCTGATCAGGCCACCTTACCGTGCACAGGTGCAGTGGACCGGTAAAATCGTTTCAAAATACTTACAGACCATTTCCACCACCCCTCGTGCCGCTTCTAGCAGTGGTAAAGTACTTATTTTACCATCATCACCGGGAACTTCAAAATGCTTTACATTGTCTTTGCTGAAAAATGTCATGGTTTGCGAAATGATTTGCTTGGATATCGGTTTGTGTACATGCGGAAAAGATGATTGGGCAACTAAAATGGAAACCAATAGCCGTTAAAATGGTAGACTATTTGTTTTCCGTATTGGGTTTTCTAGGACAAGTGGAAAAAAAATCTGTGATAAAACTGTGAAAAACAAGATGCTTTTGTTTTTAAAACACCGATGCCCTGTTACAACACACTTTGAAAAATTACGCACTTTGAAAAAAATTTTCAAAGTGCGATAAATTAATTTTTTTTCAAAGTGCGTTAACATCGACCATATTAACGCACTTAGAAAAAAATGTAAAGATTGATCAATATTCATACAAATAATCGGTATGATAAATAACAGATCCTGGTTGGATAATTTTTTTATGATAGAGTCACTTAAGGACCTGAGATATTGACGTTTTAAATATTTGAGGTTTTGATACAATAAAAGGGAAAAGGGTCTTGAAAAAAGTGACCATTGTTAAGGATCATTAATTCTTTTTTTTAATTCTAGTCTTTGATAAATAAATGTTAAAGTGTAAAGGGGGAACTAACAGTGGACAGCTTTAAGCAACTTAGCATTTATCATAATAAAAAGGAGGGAATTTGATTGTTCAAAACTATGAAAATTCTTTCTCTCTCATACGTTTTACTGTATTTAAACATTTCTAGTTTTCATCTGTTTTAATTAACTCATTTAATATTGAAAGTTTTCAACGTCATACCAGTTAGGTAAATGCATAATTATATATATGTTTTTACTCTGTTTCTTATTATTATTATTTTTCTTCTTCTTCTTCTTCCTGGGTACTTTTTTGTCCGGGAGTGATCTTGTAAACTACACATTCGACTTAGGTAAAACCTTTTTAGGGTCAGTAGGCATGTTATGTAGATTTGCGGAACAAAGGTTATTTTGCGCGCACGTGCTTGCAAGAGCGTGCACGTGCAACGTGTGAAATGACCAATATAATAGATATAGCCGTAACTTTTCTATTTTTGGATGAAATGCTTTGAAACTCATAATGTGATGATATATTAGTAGCATAGACAATATGACATGGTCAAAATAGCAAGATCTCACGCGCATGCACGTGCGCTTCACTCTGATTGGCTGAAACTTTAAAGTTCTCAATATCTTTCTTGATTTTTGACGAAATCCTTTGAAATTTTGAACATAGCCATGCATTAGGATATCCTACAACATGATATATAGCAATTATCATGAAAGCACGTGCATGCACGTGTGCTGCAATCTGATTGGCTTAAACTTTAAATAGCTATAACTCCCTTGATTTTCAACCAAACAGGATGGGATTTGGAACATAGATAGATATAATGGACTTCTACAAGACGGTATGGTCACCATGCACATGCATACACGTGCGTGTACGTGCGCTGCAATCTGATTGGCTGAAACTTTGAACAGCTATAACTCCCTTGGTTTTTAACCAAACGGGGTGGGATTTAGAACATAGATAGATGAAATGGACTTCTAGAAGAAGGTATGGTCACCATGCTCATGTATGCACGTGCGTGCACGTGAAATGAGTAAATTCAAAAATACACTTGAATGAGCGTATTTTTTAAAAATATTTTTGGGTTTAATACATTAATATTTAGTGTATTAAAATATATAGATTGTGTTGACAAGATGATATGGTCATTACGCACATGCATTCACATGCGCACGCGTGCAATGCTTAAGTTTTAATGAATTTGGTACACTTCTGGGTAAACGTTGTTAAAATCTCAAATGCATGGAGTTTGTCTTATTTAATGAAGCTTACAGGGAATATGGCACCAAAAGGGAGTTGGGGAGCGTTTGGGGAACATCTGTAACGGTCCCCGTTACAATTAGCACTAGTTATATATATGTTTTGAGTATAGCATAGACATTGAGACCGGGCGAAGGGCCAGGGGAGGGGGGGCTAAGCCCCCCACTTATTTTGGAAAGATATATAGGGTGAATTCACCATGAATCGGATACCCTTGTACTTCAACAAGTTCTAGCGATATCGCTATCGACGGAAAATTATCAAAGTGGAGTTTAACATTTAGTTTGTGATTAAAATATCAATTTGGGACACAATTATATGCCCTTTATTGAGAAAATATCCTCAAAAATCGAGTTTTTAGGAATAACTCAAAATTCACCATGGATCGGACATTGTTTACCATGCATAGGACAGACGGTATTTTGACCGGAAAAATATCATACCTTTATCACAGTGCTTTAAAATACTTGATATGGATATATTTAATTCATCTTTTATCTAAGAAATAACCCTCAACTTTAATTTAATCGACGATATTATTGCACAAATGTAGAACAATTCTAGAGGCCTCACTCCTCCTTAGAAATGCTTTAAAATGCTTATAGTGCCGTAATTCGCGCCTTTTTCTCGTGGTTTATAATACATGTACTCTGATTTGTATAAATAAATTGAGTAAAATTCTAGACGTCATATATCGATAACTTGTATTTTGACTGAAAATATAGAGTTTTTATTTTCTTTTTCCTAAAAAAAAAAACAGCTGGGTTTTGTATGTAAATGGTAGTGCTTACCTTAAATTGCATCGAAAAGTGTCCGATGCATGGTTAATTTGTGTCCGATGTACGGTGAAATTAGCATATTAGTTAAAACCAGCTCTAATAAGAATTAAACAAAGATTGAAGTGAAATTTCTTTATAATTTATGTAAAATTACCAATTCCTGACATAATTTACCACATACCGTGGAAGTCGAATTTAAAAGAACGATAACTCTAAATATTGCAAAATCATAAATTTCGGGTTATTCCCCTTTGATGATGTAAAATATGACGTAACTTCAAGGTCATTTGCGGGGTATTTTTATCACAACATGATAAACACAATCGGTATCATTAAAAACTTTAAATCTTGGTCTTTATGACAGAAACAAATAAATACACAGAACTCTTAAGTTGAAAGAGAGTTTATTGCCTAAAGTTGTCCGAAGCAAGGTATGTGTCCGATGCATGGTGAACTCACCCTACATCGTATAAGCATTGAAAATGCAGCTTACCACTTTTGGGTTTATTGCTCGCCTCCCCAATTTGTTACCGATACCTATGCATTGGAAAAATAAAGATTTGGACTGATGGCAGAACCCGTGCTCTTTTTAAAAACCCGTGCGAGCTAGGTGTCTTAGTTCTATTTGCCTCGAACTTTCGGTTACCACTTTTGGGTTTATTGGGTTAGTTTGCATTGAAAAATAAAGATTTGGAATAAATCAGTTCTTTTTGAGGTTAGGGTTAGGGTTAGTTTGTTGAAAGATAGATAAATAAAATCTTTCCATTACTAAATTAAACTATGATTTTTTTTTCAAAGTGCGTTAAGGGTCTCCATGGTAAGATATATTGATGTTAACTCTTAACGCACTTTGAAATTTTTTTTTCAAAGTGCGTTGAGTTGGTCCAAAATTTAACGCAATTTGAAAAAATTTTTCAAACTGCGTTGATTTTGTCCCCAATTTTAACGCACTTTGAAAAAAAAATTCAAAGTGCGTTGCCACAATGCCCCTGTATGGCATTTAATGGCGAGTGTTGCATGGCGAATCTTTTCTCAAATGCATCGCCTTGTCAAACACACCTGTGAAATATGGAAACCCTAACGTTAGTTCTAACTGCTCAAGAGTTACGTCCTCCAAGGTTAAAGTTTTTAAAAAATTGTGGGTCAAACTCTTAGATCAAGGGCTAAAGCTCAGAAATATTTAGAGCCACTGAAAGGTCTTGTCACAATGAATCACTACACAATGTGAAGCATGAAAGCTCTAGCTCCAAATGTTCAAATGTTATAACCAAGGTTAAAGTGTCACCATGTATAGGGATACACGTGGGGTTTCGGTTAAGTAACATATGGGGTTTCAACTCCGAAGCGGTGATTTTTTGCATTTAGAAAATATATTTGTAAAATTCCGTTGCTAACGAAGTCTTCGGGGCCAAATGACATGCGCACGGGTTGTAAGAATGTATATGTACCTTCCAATTTAGTGCAATAGGCGGGTTGAAAGCGTTACGGATTCTGCAAACACTTCTGGACAGTTCAGTTGGCTGGGAAAAGTTGTGGTGTCGCTGACATTCATTGCTCTATAATTTTCAAAAGCGGACCTTTATAGCTCATTTTAAGAATGATAGATAAAGATTGATATAAAAACAATCCATGGAAACTTTTTTCATCTTTTGCAGTCTCTATTTCTGTAAGAAATATAAACTTTTGTGGCCAAATTCTAATGTGCCTAACGGGGTTTCAAGGTTTGTTAACATAGGGGGTTTCAACTCAAAGGCTTTTTCTAAGTTTTAATCTTCTGGATTCCATGTTCATTCATCACGAAGCAAAAAAGTGAATGGCCATATGGAAGACAAAAGATTTGTTTTTCACCGGTGAGCAAAGATTTTTAAGCAACTCAAATTCTTATTTTTTGATATTATCGGTCCTATAAGCTTGCCAAAAATCCAAAAATAAGAATCCAGTGCTTACATTTAGGCCTTCCATCTCTAGTTTTATCTCTACATAATTGTAAATTTCATTATACATGAACGAGGGGTTATCAAAAAGTTCGTGGACTGAGTCTTACTCTATAAAATTTGTATTATATAGTCTGTGCTTTCAAAATTTTTATAGAACATAAAACAACAAAAAATAAAGAAATGTTGAAAATTTTAGCTTGATGCGTTCATTATTTGCCAAACTATAATAAAATAAAATCGACATTATATGATCACCCGGCGCTGTCGCCGTTTATTTTCATGACGTCCGATAACGTCATTGTTTTTTCAATGTGCGCTTCTTCTACCTCATACACTTTTTTGATGAGATTCCCTGGAGCTGAGTAAGGATTTAAACCCGCCTTGTTTATATGACTTTACAATGTCATGAACAGTGGCCATGGCCTTCAATGAATATAATTTTCCAAATGAATTTTTATATTGGGAGAGATCCGCGCTTGATTGTGCCGGAATATTTTGCTTTTAGGAGTTCAATATCTACAACACACGATCAACGTCATTTTTTGACGTGATTGATTTTTCACACCTTGATTAGCAAATCGGCTTTATCTGT